CAAATAGTAGAAATTTTAGACTTGTTTTTCAAGTAATATATTGATTAAACAAACATTTATAAAATGCATATTGAAAATTTGTAAAAACAATGAAGCATAGAAAATCCAGATTCAGCCATTGAAAAATGATTAATACCCTTTTAATGGTAACTTCCTTGTTGATGTTCTTTTGGCCTTGCATTGTTGTTGTTCTAAATATTCATTCAGAATTTATAATTTTGAAAACAAACAAAAATATTTATTGTGACATCATTACAATGCTGAACTGCAATTTTTAATTTAAAATATATGCTCTCCACCTCAAATTAGTAGTGGCTTGCCCCTGTACACCATACTTTTCCTTTAATAATAGTCATGCTAGTCATATATTTAACACCTTTCAGGGAAAAATTTTTTAATTGAAATAACATGACTTCTGGTTTGTATCGGAAGTTCATGTAAAGTTAATCTAGGCCTTCTACCTCTAAGGTTTCCATATCTGGTCTCGTTTTTCATCTAACTAACTCTGTTCTCGAGATTAAGAAAAGACAGAGAGATGGGGAGAGAATGACAGTGGGTTTATATGTCTATAATTTTTTCAAATTGCAGCCCAATTATGATTAGTATATTTTTTTGTTTAAATATAGTGATTCTATATATTTTGAATCTTTGTAAGTACAGTCGACCCCCCCCATAACACGGGTTCCTATAGTTCGGATTCCTATATGACGGCGAAAAAATTGTGACAGTATCAGTACAAACATGGTAAAAAACTCCTATAATTTGGTAAAACGTCATCGGGCAGCCGAACTACTTTCCGCTGTCCAGTGCCACGCTACAAAGAGTTTAGGCGGGTAAATTGAGTTTACTATGGTCTGTACAGTATGTAAATTAGGTACCGTAAGTCTAATACAGCACTAATTTTATACATTTCTTGTGAAAGAAACATTTCTTATTCAACGGCCATAAAAATTATTTATATTAATGATGTCTCCAAAGTTCAACGAAGTTTTTGCAGAAAAATAACTTATCAGAAATCACGCCCGCCGTTTGATGCGCTGCTCTGCAACGAAAACAAGCTTAAGCAATGGCGATGTCAAACGGTGCACACTCAGTAAGTAATTCTACAATTTTTTGTTTATAGCAGCGCTGTCCAACTTATCATAGCCCGCGGGCCATATTTTCTTTACCAAACATTTCGGGGGCCAAGAAGGTTGATAAATGAAAAGTCAGTTGATGTTAATTATACTAAATAGTACCTACTTTAAATTCAAATTTGATTTAAATTTTCACATAGTAAAATAATTTTAATATTAATAATAATAATTTAGTAACATAAATTTATTCATAGTAAAATGTACTCGCGGGCCGTAAAAATTATTTGACGGGCCGCCAGTTGGACAGCCCTGGTTTATAGCATAGTTTATACGGATTATTCCCAAAAAAAATATACGTGTTTTGGAAATGTTGAGTCAAATTAGTCTAGGAATCGATTAATTTTATGGAAGAAAACCTTTCAAACAGCAGTAGTCCATAAACTTCACATATGTCGGGCTGTGATTGGCAAGGTCTCCAAAAACATCAATTTCATAAAAAATGGAACATATCTACTGTGTTATGGGGGGGGGTCGACTGTATTCTTACATTCCTTGTGAAACATTAGCTTGAACTTAGAACACCTAAACTTGAATTAGTATATTTGAAATTTACAGTATTAAAAATACTAATTTACATGTACTGTATATTTGAAAATCCAGATATGGTCTGGCCCCAATTAGTCTGGATTTTTGATACTTAAAAACTGATACAGTAAAGCAAAAGAAAAAAGTGAGTTTTATTTTGAATATTTTTCAATTGTATAGTAATAATAATAATAAATGTAAGTTGAAGTAAAATAACAGCTGCAGAGAGCATATTCATTAAGCAAATTCTAAGTTTTTTTTTTTTTTGTTTAATGGATGAATAAAATATGAAATTCAGTTAGTAGACACACACACAATTTTTGTTTCTGAAATTAAACGTCTATGCACATACATTATTAACAAAGAGTATATCATATTTATTAATATATTTAATGTTGTTATATATAACATAATTAACAATTTTGTTTTTTTTTTCCCCCTCTGGATCTGAAAATTAATAATTCAAGTTTTGCATCTATCAATGTTAACATAGATGAGCATATTTATAATTTTTAGAACATTCTGCATTAATATGAAGTTTGAAAAATTATAAACTTTACAATTGTATTTATAGCTAAATTTCTTTTAATTTTATAGCATAAATCAATACCATAATAGGATATTCAAGCAGATTGATTAAAATACACTAACTTGAAAAATATGCATCCTACAAAAATAAATGTTTAACCAAAAACATTAGACTTCAAAGGGACCACAAGATTGGGTTATCAGTTCCATCATAGATGGTATTACAGTTGGTGAAAATGGGATCAACTTTATTTTCTTAAATGGAATCCCCACTTTTTATAGCATGTTATGATTCTACCTAAAAACAAACTAACTTTTATCTAAAAAATGTTTTGAAAGACTCACTCGGCAGAAGATATGAGCATTTGAACTTTACATGGCCATCATACCATGCGCGTCTGTGTCTGTGGATATCTGAAATTCATTGAAAAAATTATTATGAAACTATTATGAATTTCCGTCGGATGAATAAATTATTTTTTTACAAATTAAAGACAAAGTCGCTCTTTATATTATTATGTAGTGAAATCATACTTTTTCTTCAAATAATGAAATGTAAAAGAATGGGTATTTTTTGAGTTATTTAAATAGATTGATTAAACTGAACCACCCTGTATATTATTGATGATAAATATGTAAACATTTTTTGTAGGAAACCTACAAACATTCATTATCATTCTTGTACGTTATCTAAATAAATATTTTTAAAACTCATTGGAATCCAAAGCTGTTAATCTTCATTGTCCTGTATGTATGTAGGCAAAGGACAAATAATATATTGTTCAAATGTCAGGAAAAAAAACAATTTTAGAATCTATTGTGTAATTCCAAATTTATGGGATGTTTTATCAGTTTCTTTTTTGGTCATGAAATTAAAAGTTTTTCATAATTCCTTTATCAGTTTCCTAAAATAATCAAAAACTGTAAACATTAAAGATTAAACATTTTCCTTTGTAATTCATTTATTTCAGATTAAAAAACACATCTATAATATTNTCTACTATTTACAATTATTATTATTGAATTTTCTTTATAAACAGTAAAATTGGTTACATGACGTGGTAAATAAATGCTGGAGGTTGCAAGAATAATACAATTAAAAACAAGATAAAATAATAATAATAACCAAATTATATTATTTACCTTATGGTAAAATTGGTTTCATTACATGTTTGTATGTTTTCAATAGTAAACTCTATTTTTGATAATATTGTACTGTATCTGTTTTTTTTAATGTAAAAACACTATATTACAAAATGAATACAAGAAGTTAATTTTATTTTCAAATTAATTAAAATTTATATACAGTAATGTCACACAATTTTTGAGTATCAAAATAATGGTTTAGGTTCATGTAATCCAGCTAGTTCTGAATTAATTTTTGGACTGTGCTTGATTCTTGGTGGTAAAATTTTCTGAACAACTTTGTTACCAAATAAATAATGAGTCAGTCTGAGAACTATTGTGTAGTTTTCTCCAGCTCGAACTTGTGTTAAGAGCATCACAACTTGTCTATAAATTTAAAAAGGCAGAAATTATTAATGAATTATTTACAGTTATCTTTTATAGTAAAAACATTTGTATATTTTCATTTGTGTTTCTAGAAAATCTGTATTCAAAAATTCTTCCAAACATTACTATTTGAGGATGATAAATTTTTAAAATTTTTATACTAAATATAGAATGTATATTCAAAGTAATCAATATAATAATTATCTGAAACAATCTCAATATTTTATTTTTAGTAACATTAAATATGACACAAAAAAATACTAGTCTGAGAAAATTATTTTATATTTATTTTCAATTNTAATATACAGTATATCAATTTTTAATTCTAAAATTATTATTTGAATTTTTTAAAATTTAGGGTTAGATAATTTTTAATGTTAATTTTGAAAAGTAAATGTTATGTTCAGAACTTACACATACACATTTTACACATTAATTATGCAATGTTTGTTTTGTTGAGTCTTCTAAGAATGAGATTGTGGTCACTTTTCAACTTGCTTAATTTAATTTTGCAGTGGCTGGCAAAAATTTATATAAATATTTAAAAACAAAAAACTATGCCCCTAGGTCTTGATCAGCATCTGCCAACACCATAATGCCATTTGTCCTGTACTCTAGATTATTTTTGTAAGATGTTTATACTAGCACTTATTTTAACCTTTTTATTACACATTTCAAAACACACTTTTTTAATTTTGCCTGTATGTGAGATAATTTATTTAACTTCTTCATTTGTCTAAAATCTCCTTTTTGGTACAATTAAGTTTAGTAAGCCCAGTTGAGTGCTGCTTAAGCATTTTGGGAAATTCTGATTTATATAATCTAAATTTGTGTTAAGTTCCATAGAATGCAATCAGTTTGTCAGTGGAAGAATGATTACATTTTAAAACCATCTAAGAAATTATTAAATTGACATCATCCTTAAAAAAGCATTTTCATTTTTTCTGTTTTCATATAAATACCTAAAACAGAGTATAGTCACTAGTGTGGAAATTGGAAGGTTACTACATTAATGCAAATAATTAAATACTTAATAGAAGGTAGTTCAATAATGAAACTACTAATTAGAATTATATATTACTGTGGAAACACAATGATGGGCCTTGTTTAGCTCGCCTACCTTGCAAAATGGATAGATGTTCAGTTACTTTTTATATTTTTGCATGATTTTTGTTTCAGAAAATATTCCATTGTAACCAGTTTTATATATTTAGTAAGTATATATATTGGTGTATAATATCAGTGTTTAATCTATGATATGATTTTTACATAAAAGTTGTTCTTGGTTTTTTTCTGTAGGTGTCCTCAATAAAACCAGAAAAACTATATCAAACAGGAAGTCATTTAGTCCAGAATTTTAACATTATTGGATAGCTATCAGCATTTTGAACTGCAGAATTCATTTCATTAACTGTAGGATTCCCAGAACTCACAAAATGAAGTCGTGTGCATTTTCATAAAAGACAATTTATGGCAGTTGTGTGTATGTAAAACACATTTATTTTTTCTTTTGAAGTATGGGAGATTTTACATGTAATTTCACATTACATTATGGTTTAAATTTGATTTTTTACAAAACAAATAAAAATTCATTTCAGATATATTGTTGTTTTGTGATGTTTATATTTAAATAATTTCTTGTACTTTATTGTTTTTTATTCTTAAGATTTAGAAAAGAAGTTGATATTCTTTCTGTGAATGAAAATTTGTAATTATTCTAATAGTACACAATAATTTATTTGAATCTGTTAGAGATGAATCATGAAATTTTTGCATGTTTATTATTTATCTGTAAAAACAACATTGAAAAAAATCTGCTTATAATCCAGGTAATAACAATATCAACATATCACCAAACACTGAAACTATGATGATAGCATTATTAATGTAAGAAGAAAATATATAGTAGTTTATATTATAGCAAATTCATTAATTGTAATCTGAAATACTATTTTTCCAATGAATATCTACATTAATTTGCTCATTAGTTAAACAAATTCTGTGGTTTAACAGGATTGAAGACAGCTATAATATCAAAGATGAAATTGTAGAAAACAAAACATTAAATGATCACTAAGAATCTGAGTTATGTACGAAATTTCAGTAACTATTTTCAATATATCTATATCAAAATGTCATAATTAAATTTTAATTAGTTAATAATTTTATTGTAATGAAAATGACATTTTTAATTTTTGAAATAAATTGTTTTTTACAAATCAGATAAGAATATCATTAATGAAAAGTTAATTGATAGTCCGTAATACAGAATATTTTTTATGGAAAAATGGATTATTAATAAAATAGAAAAGTAATATCAAGAAGTGGAAATAATTTTGGAAACAATAAATATAAAAATTTTACTTTAATTTTATTAAAGTGTAATGATAGCAAAATAAAAATTTTTTAAAATTGCTTTTCAAAACATTTAAGAACTTCAATTCATTCCACCAAAGAGCTTACCTATTAGTTTTTTAACTGAATTTTAGTTAATAGTTTTGGAACACTACATCATCATAGCACTTAAACTTTAAAGACTTCAGTGTTTTTAATCATTGACGGTTTTCAAACTATCAGAATTTTGCAGATGTGTTCAAATCTTCTGCTATCTCTGAAGTTGCAGCTTTAAAGTAATAAGACATTTTTGAATTTTTCTGTACTCCTAAAGAAAGAAGTATGAAATCATTTATTTACATCTTGCTTTTCTTTTATAGTTTTACAAAGTCTATTGCAATATACATATGGATATTAACAATAACATTACATAAATGATACATTCTTGGTTTAAACAATTTTCCACAAAATTCAGCTTAACTTTGTTTACAATACATTGTTATAAAATCTTTAACCAGTTATGATTTTACTTACAAACTGGTAGAAATATATATCACTTTAATTAGAAACAAATCACTACAATGATAAAATAATAATTCTGATAGAAATCTTTTAAATTCATAAAGCATAAAGCAAGGATTTGTCATGGTTCTTTTATAATTACTGTAAGGTCTCTTTTTATGCGGATTATTTTTATGCGATTTTGAAGTTGTGCGGTTTGTATTTCATCCAAAAATTTCTTGACAAACATACATATAGGCTTGTTTAGGAAACCCGCGTATAGACAGTCTCGAAAAATTGTGGAATGCTCAAAGCTCACTCCATTTGTTCCACTGACATATAACGTTTATGGATGTAAAGGACAGCTAGATCTACCTTAATCGCTTTAGTTCCTAGCAATTTTTGATATAAATGTAATTAAACATAAAAAATACTTAAAACTGAAAGAAAACGAAAGAAATGCGTTAATTTTGAAGAAAAAGCTTCAAAGTTTAACTTCCTTTGTCTCGCTCTTCAGTGAAATTTAACACCAATTGTTTTTTAATTCCCATTAAAAAACAATTAAGCCTTAATCGAGCCTAATCAAAGGCTGATTAAAATCGCGATAAAAGTTTTTTGTGCGGGTAAAAATTTTTGCAAAAATTTGTGGACCTAAAAAACATTCCAAAAATTAAAAAAAAAATTTTGTCAAAAGTGGCCTTAACTACAGAGTTTTTTGTAACGCTATGTAAACTTGATGAGCTGTCTCGTCAATAAGCGTTAAGGGATTAAAAAATTAAATTAATTTCTGCAAACTTTTTTATGAAGTTTTAAGTTAATTTTAACTCTTTGTTTTGGTTTCATGCGATTTTAGAAAATTACGTAACATACCTCTACTTTTTCAAGGCAAGTAAAGTCTTTTTTTATGCAAATTTTTTATATGCGCTTTTCTGTAGAATGTATCCACCGCATAAAATGAGACCTTACAGTACATGATTTAAACCTTTTACAGCAGGGTTCCTCAAAATTTTTTTGCTGTCAATCTCTTCAATGATTCCTTGGCTTTTTGTTGACCTCCCTCTTTTTTGTTTTGCTAATAATAATAATAAACTCATTGCATTCTTCCAAAACACTATGTATCACTGGAGAACAACACTACGTCTCAGGGTTAGTAACACTTCCATACAAACAAACCAAATATTCATTAGGTGAGGAATTTTTCAAGGAGATTCCTTGAGTCCTCTCTGGTTCTACCTAACCCTGAACCCATTATCCAACATGTTAAACAACACACAATACGGCTACAATATCAGACATGAAAAAAACAACACAGTTTACGCTGTCACATCTCACATACATGGACAACATAAAGCTTTATGCATCCACACAAAAACAACTTCAGTAGCTCCTACAAATCACACATTCATACACTAAGGACATACAAATGGAGTTTGGCCTAGACAAATGCAAAACACTTCACACAGAAAAAGGAATCATGAAGAAAGATTTTGCACTTGGAAATGGGGATGTTATTGAATCCATGGAAGAGGGCGAGTTCTACAAGTATTTAGGATTCCAACAGGCCAAGCCAACAGAACATACACAAATAAAGCAAAGATTAATTAAAGAATACCAAAGTAGGTTAAATGCCATTCTCAAAACACAGCTAAATGTAAAACACACAGTTAAGCAATAAACACATATGTCATCCCAGTACTCACATACATTGGACTCACACAGATCTTGAGCAACTCCAAAGGAAAACAAGAACAACACTTACTAAGCATAAACAACATCATCCTAAATCCGCCACAGAAAGATTAACACTTCCACGTAAAGAAGGCAGACGTGGCCTGATTGACATAGTTAATCTTCACTACAAACAAATACAGTCACTGCGAGAGTTTTTCTACAAGAAACAAGAAACATCACAATTATATAAAGCAGTAACTCTAGCAAACTCAAATAACACACCATTAAACTTACACTCACATCATACAGACATGACACATCATATAAAAAGCATAGACACCATCAAGCAATTGTGGGCTCAAAAGGCACTCCATGGCAGGTATCTTTATGACCTAGCCCAGGATTTTGTTGACAAAACTGCATCAAACAGCTGGTTAGATCGGGGATGCTTCTTTGGGGAGGTGGAAGGATTCATGATTGCCATACAGGATCAGGTCATAAATACTAAAAACTACAGAAAACACATATTCAAAGATACAACACTCACAAATGACACATGCAGAAAATGTCACATCATGGCAGAAACTATACAGCACATTATTACTTCTGGGTGCAAGCTCTTGGCACAGACAGATTATTTACACAGACATAATCAAGTAGCAAATATAATACACCAAGAGCTTGCAAAGAAACACAAATTAGCAGACATCCACAAACCATACCACAAATACATTCCACAAACAGTATTGGAAAACAACACGCACAAAATGTACTGTGACAGAGCCATAATCACAGATAAAACAATTTATCACAACAGACCAGACATCACACTTGTTGACAAACACAGTAAAATCACATACATTATAGACATATCCATTCCAAACACTCAATATACAAAACACATGCACTGAAAAAATTAGCAAGTACACAGAACTTGCCCAGGAAATAAGGTATCTGTGGAGGATGGAAATGGTGCTTATTGTACCTGTCATTTTTTGCTGTACAGTGTGATAAAACACACGCTACACAAAAGCCTGGGAACATTACAATTGAATAGAAATACATACATCACACTACAGAAGGCCACAATATTGAATACATGCCATATTAGGAAAATCCTGAATACAAACACTGACACACTTATTTAATTTTAGTTTTTGTTGCTATGTCTTGACTCTGGTCTGGCATAGTACACAGCCACTGGTGTGAACTGTGTATAACCAACTAAACCCAACACAACAACAACAATAATAATAATAAATAAACCTGGTGATTCTGTATTAATCCACATAGTTTTATTAGAAAAGATTTACTTAGTGTACAAAATCCTGCTGAACTGTCATATACATAATTTATTAAAAATTATTACTCCATTTGGACTAATAATTTTTAATAACCTGTTTTCAATCAACCTTAAAGTAATTTTAACCCCTGCAAATGCCTTATCAATCATTTTGGGACATGTTTTATAGGATGAAGGCTATCCTCAGAAGTCTATGTAAATATAATTTTCATACTATAGCACTGCGGTCCCCAACCTTTATCGCCGCGGACCAGTCAACATTTGATAACCCTACCGCGGCCCACTGAGGGGGGACGTTGATTGTTCATAATTTAGATTGATTTAATTTAATAATTTTAATTTAACTGTATCTAAACATGCCTTCAAAATAAAACACAGTTACACCAAAAAATGAATATAATGTGATTTAACATTTTATCTCACTAGAACGCTAAATCAGTGAGAACCCTGAGCTTGTTTCTTTGCAACGAGACAGTTCCATCTGGGGTAATAGGAGACAATGACACCCGAAGTGTGTTATGTCCAGTTTATTCCGTTGTTCCGTCATCTATTAAAAGTCGCACAAACCAGAGACAAATATACCATAGTAAATAAAATGGAAATAATTTAATGTTTCTTGGGCAGCCTGGTACCATTTGATCCACGGCCCGGGGGTTGGGGACCACTGCTATAGCAGATTAGTTTCTGAAATTTTCTGATTTTGGATTTCCTGGGGTTTGAGAATTGTTTGTTTTGTTTTTAAAAGTATCTGTAAACCAAAGTGTCTACTTTGTATGAGGACTGAAGTAAAACATGTTAAGTGACATTAGTATAGTTTCCAGTATTATAGCAGGTAAAAGCTATTAATTATAATTTGAATGTATTTCACTATGAAAATTGATGATATTTTGATACATTATCAAGATTTTAATAATGAAATCTGTTCAAATTAAAGTTAACAGGTTTTACATGCCATAATACTGGAAACTCTACTAATGTCACCTAATGTATTTTACTTCTGAGGTCCTCATATATAAAATACTTGGCTTAAAATCATCAATAGTATTTTTTTTCACCAGGAAAAAGAAATAGAAACAGTAACATCGAGGATCAATAAGTTGTCAGAAATTTTTGAATAAGTGGATGAAGCTATGAACCATGAATGTAAAATGTTCATCTTACTTTGAAAAATGTAAATCTTACTTTGTTAATTTTCAAAACAATTGCAAAAAATTAAATTAACTAATATCTTTCAAAGGTAAAATTCTAAAATGAATGATGAAAATTGCTCCTGCAATGTTTCCATGTGTATAACCACTATGCTCATCTTTGTTTGAATAACATTAATACATTAATATCAGTAAAATTCAGCAAAAATTATCAAAATATTTTTTAAATAAAGTTTTTACAAATTTAATAGATTGGTATAAAAACATTTTTAATGTAAATGAATAAAAAATACCATAAAATGTTTTTAATATACATACTGTAGAACCTGTTTAAGAAGTTCCCACAAAAAACGTTTTTCTGCATAAGAAGTCCAAATTTTCCAGTTTCAGCATTTACATTGTAAAACATGTGTTAAAATTTCCTACACAAGTTCCAAAATATCTGTCCTGTTGGTGACATTTTACCCATTTAAGGTTTTTTTGGGAGATAAATTGTAATATTTTTCATTGCCATAAATTATAAAAATAGTAAAGTTTTAATGAAGTAAATCCAGATACTCACCATATTCTATATCAAACACCAGCACACCTGATATGGTTGCTAATTTTCCTGGGATTTTATTATTTTGATCATTCTCCCTATCTGGTGCTGTCCAATAACTGTTGACATGTCATAACACTAGATACTTAAGCACCTGTTATAGTCAGTGCATTTTATTATTCTACCATTACACTGTGCTGTTATATTACCTTGATATTGAAAAAACAATTGAATATACAAATAAAAAAAATATTTTTTTCAATTCCTGCATAAGTTCTCCCACCTAAGAAGTTTTTCCTAAGGGTACGTTCGTAAAGTCAAACGAGTTAAACGCGTTAGTAACGAATCGTTCGAATAGTAGTAGTCTTCACTCAGTGCGCATGCTCTGCGGTGATGACGTTTCGAACAAAACTCTAACGAAGTTCACAAAGGAAAGAGTTAGTTTACTTCGTTAAGAAAATGGCGCCCGACGATATCGATGTTTCTAAATCTACTCAAGTGTGTAAATTGTGAATTAAAAGATGAAATGATTGAAGTAACTGTCCATTCGAAGCGATCTAAGAAAAATATTTCGGACAAGGCTGTACTAGCAACATTCATATCTTCGATTTTAGAAACAGCCATTTAGTTCTAAACGAATCGTTCGAAAAGTCTAACGAAATAAGAATAACGATGACATCATTCTCGTTTAACTTGTTCGACTTTACGAACGTGCCATAAGTCAAAAACTTCTTAACAGGGTTCTACTATACATAAAATTTCACATTTTATGGAATAAAGAAAACAGTTGTTAGGATTCCGTTAAAAAAAGACAGGTTCAACTGTGTGTTTTATCTCAGAGGTTTTCAAGATAAACATGCTTATCTTAAAATTTATTTTTTCTCTGCATTTTCATCCTAAATATTCACTTTCCATATTTATATCAAATAATTTTTCCCAAAACCTCTATATCTGAAGTTATGGACTGAAGTGTTGATTACAGTTTCAAAGCTCAGAAACTACATTTTGATAGCTTAAATTGTAGTTGTGAAACATCTTTTGCAATACAATACATAGTTGTAATTCTCTGATTGACTATGAATCTGGCTTGCATCTTGTTGGTTAAAGAAAGTTGAGCACTGGAAACTATTGACAATCTACTTCTGTTAAGGTATGTCAAAAATGTTTTATTCATTCCTATTACTAATTGTACTAATAGCAATACCATACCTCCAATCAAACCTATTATTGTTTACTGTGTAGGAACCTCTATATCTCAAAACCTGTCTATCTCCAATTTGTTCCCATAAAATTTGAGATAAAGGTTCAACTGTAGTTATTAGTTTTAAAAATCACCAATTCTAAAGTTTTAAAATGTTTTTTGGAGTTTACTTGTAACTTGAAAAATATTATGGCAACTTTGAAAAAATAGAACAAGTTCTTATAGTACTACTAGCTGCAAGGACCCGCTTCGCTGGGTTATTATTTGTATGTAATATAGTTTTTTATATATATAAAAGACTGTTTTTCTAAGTAATCTAGAATCTAGCTGCAAGGACCCGCTTCGCTGGGCAAAAAGTAACAATAGTGAAGATTAAGGTAATTACATTGTAGCCAATCTTACCCGTTTTCACAGAATGCAAGAATTAGGTCCCCCGGTTCCAGACTAATTAGAGAATTTTTACGTCCAGTCAAACGAACTATTTTCAATTTGATCAATTTTCTGGAATGTTTACAATCGTTCTATAATCGAACCAATTCGAATTTTATGTTCGAATTTAATTCGAACAAATTCGAAAAAATCGAACAAAACATTCGAAATAGAAAGCCACTTTCAAC